AAGCACACTCCACAGCGCACAACTCTCCATTATTCTCTACGACGCTTTCAAAGGCTACAGGGTTGCTGAATCCGTCTAAAGCGACTTCAGCTGTCCCATGAGGTCCTCCAGACTCACATTCACGTCCGCTACAGAAGCTGACTGGTCCTCAGCAGCAACCGGAGTTGATGTAGCCTGATCGTACGCAAACGAGATCCCCGACGCCAGCTTCGCCGTCTCAGCAGCAGGAGCTTCAGCTGCATCGTCTCCGCCAAGCTCGATGCCCCACTCATTGTCTTCATGCTCCACAACCAGATTCTCCTGGCCGTCATGGCCCAGAGCCTTCCAGACCATGGGCGTCCAATTCTTGTGTTCAGTCACGGCCTGTTGCTTCCGACATTGAGCGTTAGAACACTCCGGGTTCGGACGCATGACGTCCGACGGGAAGAAATCCTTCATGGCGCTGTAGCCTAAGTAGTACGACACCTGACCGAAGCCCAACAAGTACTTCAGTACATTCTGCACTAGCATAGCAGCCACCAGACCCATAGTGGTCGGTAGAGAAGCCGCACACACGCCCTCGCGCTTGAGCGTGGACTCGTCAATGCCACTGGCCACGATAAGTGGCGGGAGACACTCAAAGCAGGCTGTGCGTCCAGGCAACAAAAACTGGATGTGACCTGATACAGCGTCCTCCGACACGCCCGACTCCATCCACTCCTGGTTCAGCTCGTTACATGCCTGGTTTAGAGCCGTACGCGCCGCATAATTGTCCACACAACTGAGAACCAGATCGATTTTGCTCTTGCCGTCCACTCCGCCGTGCTGGATACGGTCTAGAAGCTGCTCGAAGTTGGCGGTCGTAGTTATATCCATGGTGTATTCCTCGAAGATCACGTCCGGATTAATACCTAAATTTCACGATTGCGTTAGTAAAACACTACGAATAAGACCGTATTTCTTTAGTGCAGTCTCCTTACTGTGCAGCGTCTGCTTGGCAGCCGCCGTCTTGGTCATTCCGGCCTGTTCGGGGCGGAAGAACAAGCGGTTCATATTGGCGATCTCCACAGTGTCGTAGTCGTACATAATGAGCTTGCCGATGCCGCAGCGAGTGAGCATCTCAGCAGCGACAGAGCCGATACCACCAAGACCCACGATGAGGACGGAGAAGTCGCGGATCTTCTCGTAGTTATTGACAATTCCCATGCGCTTCAGAGCCATGAGGCGACTGTAAGGGTTGCTGTCCACCACCTCAGCGCTCATCTGCTTGGCACGTGCGCCGCCAGCCTCACGCTCCAGCTTGGCCTGCACCGCCACCTTCTGCTGCATCAGATCAGCGATCTGTCGATCCAGCGCCCGCAGCTCCGCTTCGGTTGACATGGTCTTGTCGTTAGACAACAAATCGTCGGTATGCATACAGCAAGAATTGGTCAAATATGTAGCTAATAGAAAAGCTTCAGACATCTTACTTCTTAAGGATACTTAAGAAGTAAGATGTCTCAACTTCGATGAAAATGGCATTCAGACGAAAAAAAACCATTAAAAATTTAATAGTTTTTTTCGTCTGAAAGCCATCCTAGCCAATCAGCATGCGTACCGACGAGTTTTAAGCACATAAGTTAAACAGTTCATTCAAATTCAGCCAATCATAATACGTGGCGATGAATATGTATTACCTTACATTAGTAGTAATACTATGTGAAATACTAAAAACTAGTACTTAAGTACTATTTTGCAATGTGTGCTTTATTGTTTAAAATCGGTTTTCAAATTCTGTAAGAAAGAAATCATAAAAGAATCTGATAATCACGTCAGGAAGGATCATGTCGACACTAACGTCTGTGCTCGTGGTTTTCCTAGTTCGTCCGCGCGTTGGCGCACTTTCCCACGTCCCGCAACTCGTGTCCCAGTACCTAGACGTGTCTGCGCGTTGGTCGCTAGACCGCGCCGTCCAGCGTGGCTTCCTCCATCTCGTACGACTTTTGCTGACCGCGTTAGACACGCTCACCCTCAATGCATTGGCGGAGATCCGTGCTGCCATGCGAAGCGCAGCAGCGAACAATTATCTAGAAATCATGGAGTTATTATGTAGCTATTACCCGTACGCGGTGATTGATGAGGTGGCAATTATGCAGGCAGCGTCCAATGGCCACATCAATGTTCTTCGCTGGCTCCACCTGAGACTTCACAAACTGCTGCCTCACTACAAAAAATATGATTTTTATTCCATTAAGACTGCAGCGGCTGTTGCGGAGAACGGGCATTTGGAGGTAGTGCAGTGGCTACTGGATGCTCGCGGAATCCAGGATCCCGGCGACTTGACGGAGAAGCATGTGGTCCTAGCAGCGGCGAAAGGAGGCCACTTGGAACTTGTCAAGTGGCTACGAACGAATTTAATGGAGGAAATTGAACCGCGTATTCTGGATGAGGCGGCGGCGAGAGGGTTCTTAGACGTGGTCGAGTTCTTACATAATGAGTGGAAGGAGGCGAAGCTCGAGAACAACCGAAACAGCTGTCCCGCGACGTCGAGTGCGATGAACAGTGCGGCGACTAATGGCGATTTGGAAATGGTCAAATGGCTTCACATTCACCGCGATGAAGGGTGTACAGTGGATGCGATGAATAGAGCAGCCTGGAATGGGCATCTGGAAGTGGTAAAGTGGTTGAATGACCATCGAACGGAAGGATGCACGCAGCTAGCCATGGACATGGCTGCTAAAGGAGGACACTTTGATATTGTGCAGTTCCTCCATGAGAACCGTACAGAAGGTTGCACGCATCTTGCGATGAACTCGGCAGCTCAAGAGAACCATCTTGATATTGTACAATGGCTGCATGCTAACTGCAGTGAAGAGTGCTCATATTTCACAATGAAAGTAGTTGCGAAGCATGGACATTTCGAGATACTCAAATGGCTCCTCGAAAATCAACCCGAAGGCTGTGACGTTGCAGTTATGAATGCTGCTGCGACCCACGGGCACCTTGATATAGTGCAATTCTTGCATACCAACCGATCCGAGGGATGTACCGTCGCAGCAATGGACGGCGCGGCAGAAAACAATCACCTTTCTGTCGTCCAGTGGCTTCACCAGCACCGAAGCGAAGGCTGTTCGAGGCGCGCGATGGACGATGCAGCTCGAAATGGCCATTTGGAAATGGTGAAGTGGCTGGACGGGAATCGAATTGAAGGGTGTTCAACCGACGCCCTGGATGGAGCGGCCGAGTATGGCCACTTGGATATTGTCCAGTTCCTTCACACAAACCGCACTGAGGGATGCACCCACCTTGCAATGGACAGGGCCGCTGAAAACGGGCATCTTGAAGTGGTGCGTTGGTTGCACAACAATCGTCGGGAAGGCTGCACTTCGGACGCCATGAACCACGCCGCCGGACGCGGCCACCTGGAGGTCATGCGCTTTTTACAGGCACATGGCCAGGAAGGCAGTACAGTGCGTCTTTTGCGTTCTGCTGCCGCTAGAGGCGACTTTGCCATGCTGGAATGGCTCCGCTTAGAGTGCACGCTGGAGATTGAGGAATGGCCGATAGACGCAGGACTCGCAACAATCACGTA